TTTGACCGATACTTGGCCATCTGTCGGCCTCTCCACTATCCCACCATCATGAGCAATCGTCTCTGCACAATCTTGGTGGTCCTCTGCTGGGTGACTGCCTTCCTCTGCTATCCAGGGCCTATCTATTTTATCACTCAACTCCCCTTTTGTGGCCCCAATATCATTGACCACTTTGTCTGTGACCCTGGTCCTCTCCTGGCCCTGTCCTGTGTTCCTGCACCTGGAATTGAACTTTCCTGTTCCTTATTGAGTTCAGTCATTATCTTCTTCACCCTTTTCTTCATCCTTGCCTCCTACATCCTGGTCCTCAGAGCAGTATTTCGTGTGCCCTCAGCTGCTGGAAGGCGCAAGGCTTTTTCCACCTGTGGTTCTCACCTAGTCGTGGTGTCTCTCTTCTATGCAACACTGATGGTGATGTACATCAGCCCTAACTCTGGGAATCCAGCTGGGACACAGAAGGTTGTAACCTTGATCTACTCCTCCTTGACCCCACTTGTAAACCCACTCATCTACAGTCTCCGGAACAAAGACATGAAGGCGGCCTTGAGAAAAATTAAGATACTCACTAAAATTAGTCAAAATTCATGAGCGCTCATAAGTGGATCATATTTTCTCCCCCCATTGATTCCTCCCATTTCCATCTATAGGTGACAACTGTGGCTTTATTAATTTGCATTTAGAAACACAGCCTCAAATTCTTCCATTTCTGACATTCAAGTCATGGACAAGAACATGATAATTAAAGTACGCATAGCATTTAAATCAAGATTTGGTGGAAGATAATTTGAATTAAATGAATTCAATTCCTCTGTTTTTCATATTTTTATTAGTCCATTGCAGTTGGACGTATTGGTGGTATTGTTTCATGTTCATAAATGTGCACAATATAACAATGTACTTTAATCAATATCATTCCCCCTCTTTCCCTCCACTTCTCTCTCCTCCTTGTCCCTTTCTTCTACTGTACTGATGTCCCTTTGATTTTAATGAGATCACCCACACACACTTTTATCTTCCTATTTCTCTCTATCTTCCACATAGGAAAAACAACATAGAACCCTTGACTTTCTAAGTTCAGTTTATTTTGCTCAACATGTTTTCAATTTCATCTATTTTCCTACAGATGAAATAATTTTATTTTTCTTTATGTTTGAATAAAATTTCTTTGTGTACCTATGCCACGTTTTCTTTTCATGGATCCATTGATGGACACCTAAACTGGTTCCATAGTTTGACTACTGTGAATTATGCTTCTATGAATATCAGTAGACATATATTACTATCATATGCTGACTTTAATTCTTTAGCACAAATACCAAGAAGCAGTATAGCTGGATCATATGGTAGTTCCATTCCCCATCTTTGGAGGAACCTCCACACTGATTTCCATGGGATTTTAACTGATTTGTAATCCCACCAACAGTGTAAAGGTGTTCCTTTTTCTCCACATCCTCTCCCGCATTTATTATTGTTTGTATTCTTGATGGCTGCCCTTCTG